TATAAATAAAGGTGATACCAATATAATTTTGTAGTGTACAATTGAAAGCCTTCATATGTTGTGTAATTTTAAAATAATTTTTTATTTGCCTATTGAAAAGCGAATCGGGTTTTTCCTACAACTATTGCTTCAAAATTACACATACGAGCAATAATTTCAAAAATTATATGAAAATATACTTGATCTAATACATATGTTTACTACTAATTATAGTACTTATTTCCGATCTCACACCTTACGCGCTCGACCACGCCAATTTCTTGCGGATCGAATTTATGACCGTAGTACATAATACGAATGGAAAATCATAAACAATTAATCTCCTGTCAATTATCGCGTTTTGACACGATTTAGAATATTCTGGGAGGGGTATATTACAATTTATTACAATTTATTAAAACTTATGTTATTTAGAATGTTCCCATGCCTCCATGTCTCCTGATACACGCCTGACGTCGAGAGCCGAGAGGCCGAGAAAGCATATTTCGGTTGCTCGACGCTCGCTTGAGTGAAACAATGTTCTCTCTCGTTCTCAGTGTGCCGACAAGGCAAGCAATAAGAACGTAGTGCAAAAAGGACAGAGCGATAATAGTAGGCACGCTTCTAACTAACGAAGTCACACGGACACGGGCTCATGCTTGTGTTGCTACCGGTTGCGCCAGGCCGCCGAACGGTGGCGCTGATCGCGTGCTGCAAGCGGCCCGGAATTCGCATCACTGCTTCCGAGCACTGTTCTAGATATATCGCGGCAGTGCAACACGTGTGGACGAATCACGTGCAAGTGCTCCGTGAAGAGTGCAATGTGATCTAAAGATTAAAAAAAGAAACATGGAAAATAACGAGCGAGTGGAATGCGAACTGCTGGAAGAGTGCGACCAGGTTGCTATTTTAATGGAGTGTTTCACATGCAACGATGCGATGAATATATCGAGCAGCTCTGTCGTGTCAAGCGTCCGTGCCTCGCCATTGAACACAGACGATCCGTAGTAGCGAGGATCGTGCGAATACAAAAACGCAATTGGAGCGACGTTTCGTATACATTAGTGGCGAGTACGCGTGTGGCAACGAAAGGCGAGAGATTGATGCCGCGTTTGAGAATCGTGTTCTGATAGGCGGAGTGTAAATTCTAATCACATCGAGCCGTGGAGGAAGACGCGAGAAAAATAGTGTTCGAACATGTGTGAGACGCTATAGAAAGACACGGTAGTGTGAACACCGTGTTCCACGAAATTTGCGACGAATGACAAATGTGTTAAGAGTATAAACACTAAGAACATTGAGATATACCGATGCACCGATTTGCGCGAGTAATATGAGCCACATTGCGCAGCGCGTCATCGAACACACGTTGACATCGCTCGAAAAGTTCAAGTCCAAGAATGCGACAGCGAGTGGGCATAATCACATATATTGAATTTAATTGTCAACGTGAACAAACTAAATCAGTCAGTAACCTACCTTCATCTGACGAAGAAGTACTATCCGACGATACTGGTTATGCTAGTAACTTGAGCGAGTACGGATCGTACAGAAAAATTTGTGCCATCTCCGAAAATCCGTGTGTGAACAGCCGTACTAAACACTGCATGATCCAGTGTTACTATACAATTTGTTAACTATTGCGAGCATTGCAAAATGGTAAATGATTTTTCGACTCAGTTTAGTCCGCTCTACCTGCTCAAGATGAATGATGCACCCTTATAACAGTATACTAATCGTATAAATATCGAGTGTTGCTTTTCACTTACTCTCATTGTCAGTATTATCATTTGTAGATATATTAAGTCTAAGAGGAGCTTTCAATTTCGATAATGATTCATTTTCCTCATCCGATGAGTCATTGACTTTATATCTGTTTGGTTTACTGCGTTGTCTTTTTTCAGAAAGTTATTTAATTTCAGAAGTTACAAACAAATATGAACATCGTTTTATTTTACTTTGAGTTTTTTTGAAATTATCTGCAAACAGTAAAATAAATAAATATATAAAAATATTGGCTTTAAAAAAATTAAGTATGATTAATACTAGTTTTGCGTATGTAAAAATTATAGATAATTAAATATTAAAAATTCCTAATCATTAATACAATTTTTTATGAACATACTTAAGTAATGTTGCTTACCAGTCTCAAAAAATATTTTTTTAATTCGATACAACATCCATTTATCTGTTGACAACTCCCCTCGTTTTAATAATTTTTCATATTTATCTTGTGATTTTGCAAGTGGCCAATATACTTCCTTTTTTGTAGAAATAAACTATGATTTATTTTCACAATACCTATAATACTTCGATACTATCATTACTATCATTTGTTAAACTATTGTTAAAAAATTCAATACTAATAAAAATACCATGCTTCAAATAAAAATACAAAGGATAAAATTTAAATAAGCTAATAAGTAAAATCGGTGTCGTTATATTATTATTGTGTCTTTTTTCTGTGTAGTAAAACCTGCGCAATGACAATGATAACGATATGGTTACCGTCGTATATCGTTAAGAGAATTAATACCCGTTTTCATCAATGTAGAACTTTAATCTTGGTTCAACTTACTCTTCATCTTTTTCTAATCTTTAGAATTAAAACCGAGATTAAAGTTAATCTATGTTGATGGAAATAGGCATTAGAATTACAGAATATTTTATAAGATCAACCTCAATATTCGAATATAAATGCGTGACCTGAACAATATAATAACTTACCTGAATATCCTCCAATATCCTTAAAAACTTCCGAAGTTATACTAATATTATAGTTGTTATTATTCAATGTAACAGTTAATTGTAACAATTTTTATATAAATAATAGATACTGTTCAATTCCATGAAAGCACAGTATAACAACGCGTTCAACAGATTCGACTATTGCGGAGCAAATTGAGCACTCGCTGCTATTGGATGATCTAAAAGAATACATCAATAGCAGCGAACGTTTACGGATCTGCTCCACAGTATAAGTACGTACAGGGGTGCGTTCCAAAATTCGATTCTGCCAATTCTAAAGAACCCGGAGTAGTGGGGGAAAGAATAAGTCAGAACACATATGTTACTCGAGTTGAACAAATTTGGAACGTGAAAAAGTAAGAGAGATGAAGTCGTTAGAGACGAAGTCGTTAGAGAGTCGTTATGATCTGTATATTATATTATATATACAGACCATATATTATGTTAATAATAAAGTTTTTTCTAAATGAGAAAGATAGCCACACAGAACAGAAATCTATTAGACGTCCATTAAACATCCATCATGGAGATTCGAAACCTTCATTAGACGGCCTCAAAACTTCCAGTGAATGTCCATTAGAAATCCAGAGTTCCACATTTTATATATCGATAAGACTTCCATTCGTATTAAAAAATATCTAATAGACGTTATATGGATCAATTGTAGATGTTTCACAGACCCAACAAACGAGAATGGATTAAAATGGATTAAAATTTTTTTAATGCGTACTTTAAACATGAAAATGGATTGAATGGATTGAAATGAATTGGATCCGAGCTGAGACTAGTTTAATGTTCAAAAAACATTCATATTTAAAAATGGGTTACAAATTTTATTCCTGAGACATTTATAATAATTATATTTGACATAACTTTCATATTTAAGGATTACAAATTTTATTCCTAAGACATTTATAATAATTATACCTGAAATTAACTACTTCAAATTGATATTAAAAAACGCACCCTTAGTGGGATTCGAACCTGGGACCTCTGGATTATGAAGTCTTCTACGTTACCCGCTACATCACTTCTTCAATTGGTAAATGTGTTATCCATTCTCTACTTCAATTACAACCAGCTAAACCAGGCACGAAATTATATAGATATAAAAATATCATAATTTAACAAATATAATAAAATATACATAATTTACATTACTATGAAACAACACTGAATAAGTGTCGGATAATCTCGTTTGGCCGATGTCACGCGCCGTGATTAGTCTAAATTCGGGCTGTATCGACTTGGTTTGCGAGTGTTCACATCGACATTCATTTTACTTCTAATCAAAGAGAAACAAAAGAACATAGCTCAATTATTTTTACATTACAACTTTTTTGAACTTGTATTAAAACGAAAAAACTTCCTACTTCTAATTTTGAATAATTTAAGTAGCATTTATGGTCCATTTTTAAATAAAAATTTTTTTTTATTTAATTAGATTAAAAAATTGTATTTCATATTCAGAATATTGAATTGAGTAGTATTCACGTTGCACAGAAATTGCTATTATTTTTGAATTTAACTGAATTAAAAAAACTATACTTTCTATTCACAATTCTGAATTGAGTAGTATTCAAAATGCACAGAAAATGCTAATATTATGTTTAGATTATAAGAATTGCATAGAGATATGCTCTATATAAATGAATAAAAATGCATTCAGGATTGAAAAGGATTTATTTTAACATTAATGAATCTGTATACACACACACACCCACCCACCCACACACACACACACACACACACACACACACACACACACACACACACACACACATATTTTAATCCATTCCAATCAATTCTCGTTTGCTGGGGAGCTTGTCTAAGATTTCAAACGATGATAAATGATCAACTATAGATGAATAATAGAGCTCCAACAGACGTTGAAAAGACATTGTACATGTTGACAATTATAGATGTTTTAATGAGCTCCATTAGAAGTTTAAAAAACATTATACGATTTAAAAGTAGATGTTATATATAGAGCTCTAATAGATATTTAAAAGACATTATATGGATTAAATGTAGCTATTTTATAGAGCTTCTGTAGATGATTAATAGATGTTGTATGGATCAACTGTAGATGATGAACTGTAGATACAATAGAAGTAGTGATCATAGAGTCTTAAGTCGTAGAAAATTAATCAATTATAGTCGAACATGAGAAGAATAATAGATTACGATTGGTCAATTTTCTACGATTTAAAACTCTACGATCACTACGACTTCTATTGTAGATCCCGTATAATACGTCTACAGTTGATCCATACACCTATTAATCATCTACGGGAGCTCTATAAAACAGCTATATTTAATCCATATAATGTCTTTTAAACATCTATCAGAGCTCTATAAAACATCTACTTTTGAATCGTATAATATTTTTTAAATTTCTAATGGAGCTCTTTAAAACATCTACAATTGATCCATACAACGTCCTTTCAACATCCTTTCAACGTCTGTTGGAGCTCTATTATTCATTTAGAATTGTCTGGCTATTATATCAATTTTAAATAGTTTCTGTAGTATATGTATATATTGAAATATGATGTATACATATATATAGTATTTTAACTTTTTTGTGAAATATATTTATGAAGTCAGTTGAAAATATTAATTTAGTAATAAAATATAAATATTAGTCTATCTAATGGACGTCCATCGTAGATTTTTAGTGAATCATATATCGTAAATCTCTAATGAACATCTATTGTAGATTTCTAATAGACATCTATGTGACTTCCATGTGGAAATAGATGTCGCATGGAGTTACAGAGGTCATATAGATGTCTAATGGATGATGTGTTCTGTGTAGGAGTTAATATACAATATTAAAATCACATCATTTATATAATGTCTAATCAATGTATGTGAATCAATAACCTTAATATATCCCCTAACTGCACAAACGTTAATATGTCTGTAACTTTGCTAAATCAAACCTTTAGAGTCGACTTTGTACAGTATCCTTCCAATATCGACTTTAGAACGCTTAGTGCAATTTACGCTCACAAAACTTAAATATGGAATCATTTCGTCCTTATTATTTAACTATAGTTAAACAAGGATGCTGTTCATGTTGTGGGCATGAATCGGACTACAGTCTAGAATAGTTGATCCCATTTTAAAGTCGACTTATAGTCATCTTTAAAATGGGACATTGTATGACTTAAAGACGTCTCCAAGTTGTCTAAAATCGACTTACGAACATCTATTTTTCAGACGTCTAAAAGCTATAGTCGACTCAGAGTCGACTTAGAGTGCCGTCCCATTAGGCACGGATTGGAATAACGGATCGGATTCTGCTAAGGAATTCTAGTGTATTCTTGATCCTGCTGTTTCTCCCGATCGAAACGTTAAATTTCCTGTAATCCGGACGGATCTGGCGGGTGTTTCTGTCCGCTCAAATTTTAAAACGCCATTGTGTTGGAAGAATATCATCAGAATATTTTGTTTTATTCCGACTTGTATCAGTTTATGTGATGTGCATGTGTTGTCACTAGGACTTAGCACGTAATAATAAGTCAAAATTCTACCAAGATGAATACCAATAATTAGGAAAAGAGCCGGTAATAATAATTTTAAATACACATTGTTTATTATATTCATCATTTATCATATTACATAAATTATTATTATTTATAGATATTTATTATTATCCAGAACATATGGGATTATATTCGCATATTAATAGATTACATGGAAATTTTGTTTGTTTATCAAAAAACATGAAATTGACAAATGGTGCGTTCGAGGAAACGCTACTTCTGTCATTCTATCTCTGTTGTTTATTAGACGTAAAACTAGGATAGGATGACACAGTATTGATAGTGTCTCCCAAAATGCACTTAAAATCTATTGAAAAAAATCTATGTGAAAAACCATATGGACAAATGCTGAGGTAGCAATACTTTCTTCATTGGGTGCTTTCCATTTGATAACACAAGTCGACACAAGTGTCGTTCTGTCTTTGTTATTCTCTGAATGTCAAGGATAGAATGACGCTTGTGTCATCAAATGGAAAACACCCTATATTGTTTGAACTACATTATCTGAACGTATTATATGGATTTTTTCATGATGTAGTTTTATCATATCATTTTTTCATATGATTTTCACTGTATAATTTTCAATATATGAATTTTTTCTTTACAGACATCAAATATTATACAATTCATGTTACATGTATTCATATTTGCAGGCTATAAAATGCGGTTATTGTGGGTGGATAATATACGGATCCTGTGCGGAGATTCAAGCTCATACTGCTTCAAAAGTTACAATGAATTTATCCATATTCTCGTTGTTGACGAGAAGGGCCGTGCTACAATGAGTAATTTTATTTGCAAGAAAATATTTTCACAATTAGCTTTCAAATATTAAATATATTCAGTAAGTATATTTATTTATATATTGTATAAACAGGAATAAAGCAAGTAGGAAAAAGTACGCAGGATGCACCACCATCAGAGAATAGTAATGCATTTACTTCATAATCAATGGACCTCATGGATGAGATAGATACTCATTGATGCCGTTGAGCAAAGATCAGGTCTATGGAATCAAAAGTTGCCAGTTCAAAAGCGAAGCCCTTATATACAACAAGAGTTATGAGATGAAGTTTTTAATAATCTTGATAATATAAAATATTTTACTTCATTTTATGTATTCATAAATCAAATGTGCTTCTAAAGGTATAGCGTGTGTTTTTGTCATTCTATCTTTGTTTTTTATCTAATGAACGATGCAAATAGAACATTTTTAGAAATACATTCTGAATACGAACCCATAGTTAGGCCTTATATTTAAGGCTTCCTTAAATTTATCTTCGGATACTCTAAGAATTATTTCATTGACTACTGAGCACCTAAAGATAAATTTAAGGAAGCTTTAAGTACAAGGTCTGATTATAAATACAGTAGACTATAAATACGGTATAGTTAATAATCTGCACTCGCAAATGGGCTAATGTACTTTTATATTTGTAAGCTGAATTCATAATTTGAACTAGGGATTTTTAGGTTTTAAGAACGTAGCGTGGATGAAATCTCGATGGATGTACTTGAGGAACTGTTACAAAAGCTCGCAAAAAAATGAAAAATTATGTACGCAACGGATCAGGTGCGGAAGCGGGACATCCACAGAAAAGTACTTTCTGCTTCTATTTAAGAATGCAATTTCTATATAAGGCTGTACAGGAAATGCCGTGCGTAATAACTTGTCTAATATAGATTTTAGAATATGAAAAATATGGTATATTTTTCTTATTCGTCTTTATTGTTTAATTTTAGTACAAGTTCTCTATCACGGAACATATGTCATGATGAAGCTAGTGCATTAAGCTCGAATGATTCGGAATTTCAGCAATATAATGTGTCTTCTCCAACAGATTGTAGCACATTTATGAAACATCAAACTATTCGGCTCATAGCAGACGATTAACAAAAAAACAAAAAGGTGAATTAATTTTGAATAACCAATAATCTCATAGATTTCCATAATTAACTGATATGTTTCCATATTTTTCATGATTTTTAATAAATATTTATATTTAATAAATAATTATAATTGATTTTCTTCATAGACTGTAATAGTCTGAAATTAATATTTTGAGATTGTGCATTTTCTTATATTTTTTAGTATTTTATTATTATATAGTAGTATTTAGCATTTTATAGAATTATATAATATTTTATAATTTTTTAATATTTTTTTAGTATATTTTTTATATTTTTAATATTATTTTTTAGTATTTTATTTATATTCCTTATAATTGTCTTATGTTTTTCATGGACACAATCAGCTTGGTTTAACAATGTAGGAAAATTGTATTAAATGGAATTTTTTGTATTATAGGAAAACAGTATGATCGATTTGCAGACACTGCATGACAACATATTGCAACAGTTGCTTGCTGAAAATACTCCAAAAAAGGATGCAGTGGACAGTTTCCTGAAGCAGTTGGGAGATATCCTGCGTAAGTTGAGCTATCTTCGAAGAAGGCGAATACAAGTAGAGCTGCTGCGTCTCGTTCACACGGCAGAAGAATTGGCGGAGAAGGAACTTCAAAGATTATAATTTTTTGTATTATTATTATCTTTAATTTTTCACCAATACGTTATACATTATATAATAAAAAATAAAATTTATTCTATTACAATATTTATTTCTATTTCAATAAAACCTGACGAGTAGTTCATATTTGGATTTGATAGAAATAAAAGTTTTGTTGTTACACTATAATGTGTATGTCAAATTCAAAACATTAAGATATGATCTTATATTTATTAATAATTAGAAAAAAATATGGTTTTTTATTGTCTTATAATGATTGAGAGTTAATCGCAAAATTTCACATTTAAACTACTTATCTAACGCACAATTACCAATGAGTTTCTCTATGAGGGACTATTTTTTTAAATAACACAGATGTGATACATAACATAAATAATTACATAATATGATATTATATATAATTACATAATATAAAAATTTAATATTCATTGTTTAGAGCTTTCTTCTACTGCCAATCAAGTGGTTTGAAGTTTCAAAATACGTAGCAAAGGCATCTCTAATTTGTACAGCCTCAACGTTCCTTCGTACACTGCAATTACGTATATTTTCAATTCCAGTTGACATTACATTTCGGTCATTATCACTTAAAACAGAATACATTCTTTCCGATGGCATGATTGAAATTCACATTTCATTATAAAATTATGTATGGCCGTTGCAGCTTGAACGATTAATTTGGATTTCATCGATATGCGAGCAACAATTAGCCGACGAAAAATTCGTCATCCACTAATAACCCAAACGCACATTCGACTGTTCTCCGTGCCTGACTTAATCTGTAATTAAAAATTTTCTTCATAAGTTTTCTTCATAATTTTCTTCATAGTTAAGTTCCCACTCCGAGAGTATGGCTGCATATAAGATGTTAGTGGAAATGCCTCGTCCTCTAGTAAGACATATGGAAATTTGAATCCGCTACCATCCAAATGAAGTAAATTTGTATTTAATAGTCAAGCACTGCTAGCAAATACACTTGCATCGCTACGTCTTCCTTCTGCTCCAATGTCCACGAAGTTGAAGCAACATTTTGCATCACTCACAGCTAGTAGGTTTATACTGTAACTACTTTTATAATTATAGCAGAATGAACCACTATTCGGTGGTGCCTATAATTAATAAGAATTCAATAATGTCATATTTGTTAAAAAATGTATAATATAAAAAATGAAATTATATCAGAGGGAATGGTTCACTTGCACACTGTAACAATTGCCCACTATCAATCACAGCGACTTTTGCGTAGGAAGTTTTTTTACTTTTTTTTAGCGCTATGATTGACTTGTGCACAATTTGCTCATGTGCAATTGATATACACTCATATCAGATACATACCTGAATGATAATGTGCTTCTCATCTATAAAGCCAACACAGTTTGAAAATTGACAGATTTGTTCGAATTCATCAGCAATGCTGCAATCATGCAATTTTGCTAATTTTCAGATTGCAGAAAAACTGTATCCTTCAAGACCTCCCACAATGCAGTGCAACTCTCTCTTACGATTTTGGATGCTGTATTGAGGGCAATACGAAATGCATATGCTAAACTGAATGAGATGCTAAACTGTCACCGGATGCTAATCAGCGAAAAGTCAACTGCAATTTTGTACGAGGTGAAATTTGGATTCAACAAACTTCTTTTTTTCTGAATCCGTGATTCAATTAACCTTAGTAGTCCTTCAAATAATTCTGGAGTCATTTTAAAATAATTAAAGAACTTTTCACGATCAAACATTTGCATCTCAAGAATCAAATTGTCACTTGCACCTTGTAAATGCCTCATTTCGTGCGTGAACGTTGGCCGTATCCAGAATTTCCGTTTCATTCTCATATTTTTTTGTTTTTGTAATAAAACAATGTACCTTGAGTACAACTTTCGCACTCTCTCGAATATCGATACAGCACGCCAAATTTTTCACCGTTTGTAGTTTTTTAAATATAATTAATAAGACTGTTTTTTCATCCATGTTTCAAGATTTTATATTTTCAGCCATGTTAAAATTCTTCTTTATTTTGGTTATGAGCCTCTTCAATGAATAAGGTCTCCAATTTAATATATTATAATAAAAACGAACGTGGTTTATAAATCAAAACTTATGAAAAGAAGAGCATAAAAATCACCGCACAAGATATTGTTTGTGATATTTAATTATCATTACATTAATAAAACATTAGACGTTTCGGCCACAATCTGGCCATCTTCAGTAAATTCACAATATTCTTAAAACGCAGAATTACATATAGCTAACATTAAATTCAACAGTTGTATAATATAAGTATGTATAAACGTGTTCTTTCATCATGTGAAGGTGCCTCGTACAAAAATGTTATAGCGCCAATTACGCATATTACGAAATGTGTAGAACAAGAATTTCCAGATTCTAATTTAACAAATTAACCTATCATTAATATTTTCTAGTCGAAATATGAGAATAGAATCGTTACCTGTTTTACAGCAAAAAAAATGATGAATCTCAAGTACATCCTTTACACAGATGGAAATTTGTCATCGTGTTATTATTTGTCATATCATATATGTTACCACTATTTATATATATGTCAAAAGTTTAAATTGTTCTAGAATTATTTATTAAGTGTGAGAGAGATCTTTCTTAAGAAAAGGCAGATAAACATCGGGCAAACCTTGTCACTTTGCTTATTGATATCACTTATTTGGCTTTTGATGTATATCATTTCAGAGATTCTTCTTTTCATTAATGATTATTCTGTGTCTAAAATTCTGATATTATCTCAATCCAATTCATGCGTCTCATTCAACTGGTGACGAGAAACTACTGACATCTCCGAAGTGGATCTTCTCATGTCAGCTCTATGTTCTTTTATTCGAGTTTTTAATTTCTTTTTTGTTTGGCCAACATAAGAAGACTCACAATTTAAACAATTAATTTTATAAACCATTCCACAATGGTCTTCTTTACGCAAAGGATCTTTTCCAGTTTTTATAAATCTATTCATTTTGTTTATACGTCACATGTTTTATTAATGTGATGATAATTAAATATCACAAACAATATCTTGTGCGGTGGTTTTTATGCTCTTCTTTTCATAAGTAATAATATAGTAAGCAATTATTATAATATTGTAAATGAATGGGACGAATAGAGAAAACTGTTACGGAACGGAACAGGAACGAAATGCTCAATTCTAGTGAGAAATCCGATCCGTCATTCCAATCCGTGCTTAATGGGATGGCACCCTTAGACTCGACTTTGTGCTGTTAGGATCTCCTTGATTTTTGAGGAAATTAAGATTATTTATTGAATGACTCATCTTTCGTTACACACACACACACGCACGCGCGCGCGCACGCACGCACACTTTATTACGAGAATACTTTATCGTATACAAATATAACAGTCTACACAATATAGCGTTTCCGAAAAAATTTTATTTAATTTTTTAATAAAACTTAATTTTATTAACCCTTTGCCATACTTTTCTCTTACAAATTAAAAAAAAATTAAGTACGAACGACGTATCCTGGCTCTCACCCGTACTCATGTTTGGTATCCGATTTCCTTACCACGAGTCTCACACAATATTGTAGGCGAAAGGATTAATTATATTTTATGGGAAGAAGATCCAGCTAACCTAACTTGCAATTTCAACTTGCTGAAGGCAGCCATATTCCTGGTTGGAAATTGATGCATGCGTACTAAAAATTGAAAACCATATAAAAAGTTCAGTATCCATACTGTGTGTACTTATGTCCGCAACAGTTGAATCTGCTGAACGCGATCACAGTATATGTAATAGCGCAACTCTCTGTCAGCACCTTTGATGTTAGTGTTGGCCAAAATGGAGTGCGCATGCGTGAAATAAGTAAATTATCTAGCGTTCCCAGTTAGAAATAATTCCTCGAAAAGACATCGTTTCGACGTCATTACGATGAAAAAGTTGTTGATTCGAAACTCGCATCGAAATTTTAACATTTTCGAGTGATAAAAAATTACGTATGTAAAGAGTGCAATGAGAGTTTGATACATTTTTAATATTTTTGATATAAATATGTGATACGTAATCTTATATTTTGAATATTTTCGTTCAAAGGTCGAATCGATATTTTTTTGGATTTCATTTCGACAATTGCAATATTGCTCTAATCATAAAAGCTTTCTCAAAATTTTTCAGAATTTATAAATAATTTTATAACTTTTTAGAAAATTGTGAAATTTTTTTATACGAATCGGAACATTTTTTTTACAACTGTCGATAAAATCTACATCTTTTCTTCTATAATAGTAATTCTTTGTATCTTATTTTATTGATCTACTCCTACTGAATAGCATTACTTTTATTTGTACTTCCTAATTTATTTAATATAATCCTAGTACATCACTTTTGTAAGAAATTGAGGAATTTTAGGGAAATAATATCATAAATGCTGATTACCTAACTATCTCTTATCATAAATGAGCGAAATCAAGGAAAAATATCATCAACTCTATCAAAGTCTAGCTAGACTAATTTTAGTTTGAATCGATATCGAAATGATCTCGATTTTTAAATTAATGAAATTTAAATGTTGGTCTATCATACAAGTTTCCAATATCATTTGAAAGTATAAAAATACTATTAGTGTCACTGCTACTACAGTGTCACTATTACTACTGATATGCAATAGTGTCAATGCTGAGCCAATAGTGTTACTACTCGTAATATATGACGACATATGACGTAACATAGAACTACTTCCAGTAATTGTAATATTTGGTAAAAAATTTATTAGAGTAAAAAATGCATATATATATAATTTAGAGCAATTAGTATTGATTATTTCAGCTAATAAAAATAATATTTTACAGTATTATTAAAAACAAGTTATTATCATAGGTATCATCATTTGTACATTACTACTATATTTAATATTAATTATATTTTTTTTATGTGTCCGCCTCTTTCACAACATCTTTGAACAGATATGTTACAATTATATATCCATTAGCATTATAGATGTTCATGATTCTTCGAAAGAACAATTTCTGTACGATCACAGAAATGAAGCATGATAAATGGAGGTTCGGATTCGGATGGGTAATCATCACGCATAGGTGCATCATAAAATTAGTTTTCGAATTCATAAAATAAATTTTTTTTTATTATAATTTTATCGTGTATCCTCTGAAATATGATACTAATCAATAATACTATTTTCACAATAAAATTTCAATAAAACTTTAATGAAATTTTCTCCATCACTATTACGCTATTAATGAGACTACTTATCGAATTTACTTATTGCATTAGTGACACTAGTAGTATATTTGTATGTTGACTAGATCAAGATTTTATTTCCAACTCGAAAATTAATCGAAATTAGAGCCAAAAATCCGTCAAAATCAATAGAAATTTCGAAAACTTTTATTTGCGACATCGAAACAATGTCTTTTCGAGAAATTATTTCTGACTGGATTGTCACGATTACCATTTCTAAACTTCTTTCTCTTTTCATCCTTTCTTCATTCTGTCAAAATTCCTTGCAAAACTCACTAGATTCGCATCGCAATCCAACGAATTCGTTGAAGTGAGTAAATGCTATTGTAGGAACATATTGGAGCATATTAGAGCATGCGACGCAAATAAACCTAATATTGCAATAAAATAATTTAAACTTTATGAAAATTAATAAAAATAAACTGTAAATATATTGGAAAATAAAGAAAAAATAAGAAAAATATTAAATTAACTTAAAAATGTATATTTGTATAAAGAAATATGTAATTATATATCTATGAAAATATTATGAGAAAGCTCTGATATAAAAGAAATTTATATATATTGTATATATATATATATAAATACAACTAAGAAATCTTTCTTGCTTGGTTTTCTATTATATGTTATTTTTGTTTATTTTTTCACTTTATCACTTTTTCACAAAAATTAGATCAATCTCTCGAGATTTCTCATACAACATTTCACCAAATGGACAATACATGTAATATTTCCCTCTAATTTCCCTCTAATTTCTACTTTGAACCATGCATGCTTAAAAAACAAATGTTTAAGTGGAATATTGAAACGCTTACTTAAATAGAGAGAGAAAGAGAGAGAGAGAGAGAGAAAGAGAGAGAGAGCAATAAAAAAAGAAAGAAAAGAGACGGGGCAACTTATTTATTTCACGCATGCGTACTTCATTTTGACCAACATAAAATCAGGAGAGTTGCGCTACTATATATGTATACTGTGATGCGATCAATTCTTCCACCATGTAACAATTAATGGCTAACACTCGACAAAGATGCGTTCCAAAATTACAGTTCCAAATTAAAACTCTTTATTTCTTGGAATTTATACATATATACAGTTAAGACAATTCGATATCATTATGTATGTTGGATCATTTCCTATGTCAATTTTAAACGTGGAAATTACGTATGTGTTCCTTCAAATTTATGTCATATAAATAACGTTACTATGTATGATATGTTCCGGAATCATCGTTATTTCAAATGTATTCACGGAGATGGTAAGTAAATAGCTTATAGGCGCCGAGCAATCACCTGCGGCATTTCGTTCAAAACATGAGTATATCTCGCTCCTGTTTTAATTACGCTATCTCAGATGATAGGCACGCGACCCTCCTTACGCG